TGGGAGACAACTGCACCCGTGGACTGAGGACTGGGATACTTGGAGGGCAGAGGAAGCAGAGTGGCCATGCCAGGGCTGTGGAAGTGGCGGTCATTGGACCTTGGGGGTAACCCCTAGGTTGGTGGGTGTCCCATGGAAGGGGACCCAGAATCACCATATGTTTTGTACCTCAATGCCCCCCCTCACAGTGACATGACAGGCTCGGATCTTTGAGCAGGGACCTGAACTTGGAAGAATTGATCCAGGAAGTTTCCTCCTGGCACCAATCCCCATACTGCAGATAAACAGAGCTCAGTCGAATAGGAGATCAGACTGCAGAGCAACAACTCTGGGGCTGTGCTTGCAAAGACTCTTCCTACCCACAGGGTCTGGAGGGCTCTGCCACTGGAAAATTGGTGACATTATCAGTGCAATCACTTTATACGCCAGGGGGATGCTTGACAATGTTTTACTTTTCTGTTCCTGTGTGTGTTTTCCTGCGTTTAGTTTGTGTGTTTTGGGCTTTTTTTTATTTGCTGGTTTGTTGGTCTTACAGGGTTTTGATTTTAAAGTAAACCGGTGCCCTTCATATTCCAGGGAGAAGCCGATGGATTCTGGGTTCTCACTCAACTCTAGCCCCAATCCAAGAACAGTTGGCTTTGATAACATGACCCTGCTCCATACTCACCTTCATGAAAATGTGGTGAAGAGGGCAGATGATGCCTGCCTGTCAATCAGCGTAGTGTCTGGGGGCTTGTATTCATCTAAGCAGCCATCTAAGCGGGGAGTCAACCAAGCCCACATGAAAGAAGCACACCAGCTGTGTGATCCAAAGATGAAAATAACCAAATTCAAATATGACAAAGGGAAAAGTATGAGAGTTTAAATTGTGAACACCAGTCTGTAGAAGCCAATGGGGGACAGTGGGAGCCCAAAACTCATCCGCAGAGTTTCTCCTCTTGGGCAGATCACTCTAGCCAGAGGCAAGGCACTCAAAAACAGCTTTACTGTCAGGCCAAATCCTTGTAATCTTTGTTTTATTTTCTTAATCATTTTATCAGGAACTTTTACAGATATCATAACACCCCATCGTTCAATCATATCATGCAGTATTGTACAATTGCTACCACAGTCAGTTTCAAAACATTTTCTTTCTTCTTGAACTCCTTGAGATCAGCTTCCTTTATCCCCTCCTCCTCCACACACCCCACCCAGGACCCCTTATTTTTATTTATTTTGGTTGCTGTTGTTGTTGCAATTCTGTTGCTCGCTCCCCTTGAGTGGGATTATGCTGTCATAAGAGCTATCAGCTGCTCCCCCCCCACCTCGCTTCCTTCTCTCGGCTTTCGTGTATCAAACTTTCTTAATTATACAAATGAACATATGCAAATCTAACATCATTAATGAGGTAAAATATATAAAAACATGTTCAAGTGTTAGGCTCATGGCTTCCAGTCTTCCCAGCACCAGTGTTTTTCAGAAGCTATTACTAAATTTAAAACTGTATGCTGGGCTATTTGGACTAGGAAATGTAAAGATTATAGAACACTTATAAATTTAGCTACTGCCCATAAGTAGAATGAGAATCTAAGAAAGGACTCTCAGCACGGAGCCCTGTCAAACCTGGGCTCAGCTGTTAGGGATTATCACTGAAGCTGGCCTTTCATTTTTCTTGAGTAGCCCTGTATTCTTAAATATTCTTGGGACAAATTGTTTCATATGATCGGCACAAGCAACTGCACGTCCAGCCTCCAGGAAAAGCCCATCGTTCACCAAACAAAAATAAATGTCCTCACTTGTCCTGGGTCTACACTTTCTGTGGAAACAGGTGTTTTAGAAAGTTAAAGCAAAATATTTTGTACTTTTGTTTTTCAGTTCCTTTTATTAGACTCTTTGAGGTTTTTGCTAGAATTAAAAAACAAAACAAAACAAAACAAAAACAACTTGCTTCCATCATGTGGCCCCCAATGCATAGTGACCTTATAAGACAAAGTAGACCTGCCCCTGTGGGTTTCCAAGACCAAATCTTTACAGAAGTAGGAAGCCTCATCTTTCTTCTATGGGCCTGCTGGTGGTTTTGAACTACGGACTCTGTGATGAATATCCCAGCGGGTAACCTGCTACGCCACCAGGGCTTCTCTTGCTAGAATTAGTGAGGTCTTATTAAATAGGAAGAACCTAATCCTATTACTTATTTAATAGACTATTAAATAAGACCAGAAAAGGAAACAAATTGATGTGATCAACCAAATAAATGTAGAAGGATTGAGAAAGCAACTCGGGTATTTGCCTCCCTGCATACATTCTTTAGATGGTATGTTAGACAAGTTTCTCTAGAGAAACAAAACCAGGACACTTAACGATTATATATATATTTATATAGATAGATATATACAACATAAGAAATAAACAGTTAATTTGTCGATAGAGCAGTACAAATGGCTCAATGCAACTCACTTCCGTGAGACAGCTAATACACTGGCAGTCCTTCAAGTCTTGAGGGCCTCTGGGTGCAAATCAAGGAAGCAGACAGCTGAGTCCTCTGTAGAACATTTTAGGCAATCTGGCCACAGGCAGCAAACAGCAAGGCAGGTCAACAACAGTCAGCCAGATGACAGCGTCTGACAGTCCCCAGCTCAAGTGATATATACTCCAGTAGCGTGGCAAAGCAGGTCTTGAAGGAACCTCAAACTACAGCGACACAGTCCACTGGTTGGGTGTCCCAAAGGTAGTGTAGCTCTCAAGTTGAAGCAGAGAACCAGCTAAGGCAGCCGCGCACTGGTCCAATCATCAAAGAGCAAGAGACAAGACAGGAGAGGCTCACCCTCAATTAATCCCACATGTGTTCATTGGCCAGGTTGGCACAATCAACCTACCTATCACAGATGGCTTAATGAACTATGATCAGGAGTCTTCATGAGGGGTTTCCTTATGAAGGTCACCTCTGAGGATGGCTTCGTTTTGTAGAAGCCCTTAAGTTAGAGTCTTGTACCTCTGCGTGAGCTGTCTCCAAGTTTAGGTGAGAAATGTCCAGCCTGTTTTCAGCTCACTTCCATGAGACAGCTAATACACTGGCAGTCCTTCAAGTCTTGAGGGTCTCTGGGCACTAGTCAAGGAATCTTTCTAATATTTGTTGAAGCACAAGAGGAATATGAAGCACAGTCATCATAGCTATCTGTCCCCCCTCCCCCTGCACCCCCCTCCGTGTATCCTCAGGAAGGCAATACTCGCCTTCCTGTTTCTGAGGGGAAACTCTATCTTAGATTTTGTGCATCAAAAGATCTTGGTTGTACTTGTGCACATACGTGGGACTGTCAAGATTAGTGAGGCAACACTTGGGCCCTAACAGTGGGAAGAAGAAATTTTAAAGAACTAGAGGATAAGTGTGTGTTTCATCAGTGCTATACTGCATGCTGGATATATCGTCCTTTCTGTGTGGCCCTTCTGTGAAGCACTGTCCAATTAATTTACACATGGGCTTTGGGTCTCCACCTTGCCTATGTTCCTTCACATTAGTTTGATTGCTTATTTTTGAACTTCTGATACCTTTTCCCATCAACACCTCTTGATCACACAGGCTGGCATGCTTCTTCCATGTGGGCTTTATTACTTCCTTGCTAGATGGCCGCTTGTTTACCTTCAAGCCTTTAAGACCCCAGATGCTATATCTTTTCATAGCCAGACACCATCAGCTTTCTTCACCACATTTGCTTATGTACCCGCTTTGTCTTCAGCAATCATGTCGGGAGATGAGTATCCTACATTGCTACATTATTAGAACAAACCATTCTTGTATTGAGGTAGGATTTAAGTAGAGTCCCAAAGTCTGTCTGCTTCTCTGTTTGTACTAGTTTTGAAAGGGATTGCCATTCAAGCAGTGTATCTTGATTCTCTCAACAGTATAAATTTAGCTTTGTGCTATTTTTTTCACCTCATCAAAACTTGTTGGAAACTTTTTATGGATGGTCTGGACTATAGGGAGGTGGGTGTTTACCAGGTTGGGAATTATACCCAGAATGTGCTGTTAAAGTGAGAGCGGAAAGTGTCATATGAACTTGAGGGTGCCACAGTCGGGTGGTAAGCGTAGTGGAGAGGGAAGGATGGGAGATGAAGGTCCCTGTCAGTCCCCATAATAAATGTTGATGGAGCTGATGACTTGATGTAGAGAGAAGACCTTAACAGGAAATTCCTAAAGCTGTAAAGCATATTCTGGGGACTATGAGGGAAATGAATTCTCAGACCTCTGTCTAGTGAAATCTGGGCTGAGGGAGAGAGCTGGTAACTTGCTATATGTCAGAGGCTTTGGTGTGGAATATAATCATTTTCCAAACTCTATGGTTGGTGACTGTGTCTTCCTTAGAAGGGGAAAACGTCGAGCCAGTCAGGGTGTGATGTAGCAGTGATGAAAAATACAACTTTCCTCTAGTTCCTAAATGCTTCCTACACCCACCCCACCCCCACTATCATGATCTGAATTCTACCTTGCAAGTCTGGCTAGACCAGAGGATGTACACTGGTACAGATAGGAACTGGAAACACAGGGAATCCAGGGCGGATGATCCCTTCAGGACCAGTAGTGTAAGTGGCGATACTGGGAGGGTAGAGGGAGAGTGGGTTGGAAAGAGGGAACCGATTATAAGGAACTATGTGTGACCTCCTCCCTGGGTGACAGACAACAGAAAAGTGGGTGAAGGGAGACGTCGGACAGGGCAAGATATGACAAAATAATTATTTATAAATTATCAAGGGTTCATGAAGGAGGGGGGAGCGAGGATGGAGGGGGAAAAATGAGGAGCTGATGCCAGGGGTTTAAGTGGAGAGCAAATGTTTTGAGAATGATGAGGGCAATGAATGTAAAAGTGTGCTTTACACAATTGATGTATGTATGGATTGTGATAAGAGTTGTATGAGTCCCCAATAAAACGATAAAAAAGAAAAGGGGGAAACGTGAGCTCACCCATAGGTTCTGCTGCTGTTTTAGGGTGCACTGTCTCTGATTTTACTTTCCTCTCTCCCTTCAGGCTGCTTGATGGGGACTGTGGATCTGAAATCCAGCAACCGAAGCCCAGTGGTGCAGGAATTCGAAAGTAAGTCCAGGGAGACACGGAACTCTGGTGGCACAGTGGTTAAAGCTCTTGACTGCTGATGGAAAGGTTGGTGGTTGGAACCCACCAGGCGCTCCATGGAAGAAAGATACGGCAGTCTGCTTTTATAAAGGGGGTGGGGTGGGGTGGTTCTAATCTGTAGCATAGCTATGAGTCAGCCTGAACTAGAAGACGGGGTTGGTTGGTTGGTTGGTTGGTTGTACAAGGGAGGCCCTACTGGAAGCGTGGATCCATTGTAATGGGCCATTTAGCCAGCTTGTAGCCAACCCAGGACAAAAATAAGTATACATATCATGCCAGATAGATGTTTAGGACACCTTCTCAACATATGTGGCATGCATTCAGTCAGTGCACCATTGCTTCAAGTGGCCAACAGTGAGCTCTGGGCTGGTTGTTCATTGATTCCTGGCCTGGCTTGATGCATACAAAGCATGCAAAGGCGTTTCTTATTGACTGGAGGGGTTTTGAGGGAGAGTCTGTTCCTTGCTCATTATCTATACTGTCTCTTGGACCCTGGGGACGACTGTTTTCCAACTGTAGGGAAGACTTCTCTTAAACTAGACATAGTGTGTAGACCCGGGTGTACATGGAACCTAGACTTATTCCATATTCCCTTAGAGTTCTTCTTTTTTTCTCTTATTAGGTGTGGAACTGTCTTGTATTATTACGGATTCACAGACACATGACCCACGGATTGAATGGAAAAAAATTCAAGATGAACAAACAACATATGTGTTTTTTGACAACAAAATTCAGGGTATGATCCTGCATCTTCTTTGCTGCTGACCTCTCCTCTGTAGACACGTCCAGGCACTTACTCACATCTAACGCATCACCTGCATTTCTGTCTGTAGCTAGGACTAGTTTGTTGTTGTTGTTGTTTCAATTTACTGCTATGGAAATTTCAAACATTACTGTAATGGGGCAAATAGTATATCGAACCTTTCTGTGCCTATCACCCAATTTTAACAAACAGCAATTCATTCATTAGGATTTTAGTTTATCCTCAGTCTTTCTTTCTGAGACTCAAAAGCATTTTTCTAGACTGTCGTCTGAACCCGATCCTTGGCATTAGTGATGGGAGTGAGTACATTCACTGTGCAGCTGCTTCAGGCTAAACTGGTGGCAGGTGCTGGGGTGACGCACTGGAAAGGCACTGTGGACAAATGAGCAGGTCCTCTCTCAGTGGTACACGGATGCAAAGGGTGCGTGAGATCGCTTTGGGCAGGGAGAAAGGGTGGTGGTTAGGCAAGTCTTCCCAGAAGTGATTTCTAAGCAGAGACGTGAAGAGAGATTAGTTAGCCAGACAAGAGTGTGAAGCCTGAGGTGGAGAAAGGTTTGGGGGCAAGAAAGAATGCTGTATAGAGGTAAAAAAAATTGCTTGACTTACTGGAGAAACTGCAAGTTCACCATAGCTGCGGCCTAGAGTGGGAAAGAGACCGGGATGTCTACAGAGAGGCTGGAGAGATTTGCAGCAGTCAGATTATGAAGCTTTGTGCCCTATGTCAGGTTAGACATTCTCTGGAGGGTCCTGGGAATCCACTGAAAGGTTTTAAGAGGGAAGTGACATGATGACATTTATACTTAGAAGACTGGCTTCTGGAGAACAGATGGGAGGTGGACAAAACTAGGAGCAGGGGGGAGGATGCACAGTCCTGCTGTGGGAATCCAGTGGGATGAGGCAAAGGACGAGTGGCAGGGAGGAGTTAGGGAGGCAGGGAGTGGGGCACTACTCTCGTGCTGACAGGCGGGAAGGAGTGGAGATAGGCACAAGGGCAGGGGGATGGCTTTAGACATTTCAGAGAACTGATTGTTGAGATTTGTAAGAAAGAGAGATTTTATGAAACAAACTAAATTAACAGCCTTTCTGCTTTGACTTTTTAGTGTCATTGGGATTTGCAAGCTCTTAAAACTGGTTTTGCCTTCCCCCTCCACCTTTCATCTTTGGAAAGGTGGAAACGTCCGTCTGAGGAAAGACATTTGCTTTATTTGGCAACTTAGGCTGCTCCACTGAAGTCTTCAGCAAGACCCAGTTGGAATGTTCTTTTTTGTTTTTTAATCATTTTATTAGGGGCTCATACAACTCTTATCACAATCCATACATAACATCAATTGTGTAAAGCACATTTGTACATTCAT